GACTCTGATATAACAAAGACTCATTAAAATCAGGGACCAACATGGAGCTACAATGAAATGGTTCTGTCTAGTATTAGTGTTTTTCGCTGATGTATTTAGATTTTATCATCCAGTAAAGTGGTAGATGCCCTTTGAACTCAGAATATGGACAGAAACCCCGGTGTGATGTTTCTGCATTTTAGAAAGGCCTAAAAAAGATACCCACTAAGAGAAAACTCACTGTTTATATACATTTGGTTTTTTACCCCCAACTAAAAGTATGTCAATATACTGCATTTGTGTATCTATATATATAAATAAACAGCAAAGGATGGCTTTCCCGACAATATCCCACATAACATATACATTCTGCATATGACCTGTGTATACTACTGCAGTATAGGCTAACATAAGCACACTGAATGAAGCCAGTGTGATGTTACCATTGTGTATTCTTTTCACTGTACCATCTGGTGACTCACACTCCTCCATCCCCTCTCCATTACTCTATCTTTCTTTCTTTGTTTATATTTCCCTCTGTCACTCTGTGCTGCACCGTTCTCCAGCGAGAAGCGCAGTGAGACACGAGCCGGTGACCGTGCAGATGTGAGAATGACTTGAATGTTTTAGCGGCAAATGCTTGGCCCTTTTGTGTCAGCAACACAGCATCAATTGTCTTTGCCAAACAATGAAAACATGCTGTTGGTGAATCACATTTTATTAACAAGGAACAGAAATAATGTTCAAATCTAGAGGGAAATGGGGAAAATGACTTGCATTTGCTATGAAAAGATGCACCACAGCAGTTTTGTGTGTACATTAAGTTGACAATATAACTGTCTTGCTGTCTAATCTCTGCTCCATTATTTCTACTTAGAATGCCATTACCGGTGCCACAGAGAAATTAATGGATTCTCAGACAGCATCTGAAGAGGGCTTTGGCACAATAACTTAGATCAATGCCCTCATTTATCTGCCTGCCTGCAGGGATCCCAGCTGGTTTCTACCATACTGTTCTTCAACTAACTTCATAGCGCACCAGGGCTTCAGAATTACAGCTGCACTTTCCTTACAATATTGCAAGATGAGGAAGTTCATTCTCAAAAAGTGGTCTGTTACAATATTGCTCTCCAATAGAATTACTGCACTCTGGAGTGTACCTTGTAGTCTTGCTTTCACCATAACACTTTGTAATTTATATTCTAAGCAGACACCCCTCCCTTATTTCCCTGAGGGGTTAGAATATTGAATCAAGGATCTCATGCAACTGACCAGCTAACTGCCTTATTGCCTGCACATAAAAAAAAAATACATAAAAATAAACTTGACCAGCAATATCATACAGATAGTATTGTTTTATGTAGCACTCAAAACCAGAAAGCTTCCACCTCTCTTGACCCAACATTGTTCAGTTAGATTGGTATGTATCCTTACGTAACAGACCACCAGATGACCGCAATTAAACCACATCTGCTGCGCTTTGATTGAATGCACGGCTTCTTAGATTTCATGTCTGAGCTCCAATGAGATTCAAAAACACATGCTTGTTGTCAGATTTAAACTGCAGCAATTTACATGCATTCTTTTGAAGGCAAGTTAAATTATCAAGCATGCTCGATTGTTGTAGTGTGCAGATAAAACAAAGTTTCTGTAAATTTTTGGAATAAATGTAATAAATAATGATAACTGCAATAAATGTGACCACACTACAATTATGCTTGAACAAATTCTCTCCAACCTGTAACCAAAAGGTGACAGGACAACCCTGTTCACAAACTATCAACGTTTGGATAGCTTTTTATGTTTTTGTTTTTTTTTAAGTTGCCAGTATACTCCTTGTGCTCCTTGAACTACTTGTCAGACAGTCGATTCAGGAACAACCAGTGACCTCCTCTCCACACCTTTCCAACGTCAGATTAGGAGGAGGCTGCGTTCGACCACTTCTGTAATTTTCCGAAACCGACTATCCAACATTTACAACCACTGAGAAAGGAGCCTGTGTTTCAACTTCTCATATTTTACTTTTCATGTGAACAACCGAGTGCAACACTATGAATGTCTACCAAGAGTGACTGAAAATGTGTTTTCAGTCACACATTTAAACAATATCCAAACTCCTCCCTCTCTATGATGGCTGGCTTTTTTGTTCAAGGGTGGACCTTCGTAACAACTATAAACATGTTTGAAACTTTGTATAAACTAGTTCTGTTCAAGCATAACCCAACCCTTAGTTCCAATGTAGGCTGTGGCTCAGGAAGTAGAGCGGATCATCCACTAACCAGAAAGTCAGTGGTTTGATCCCTAGCTCCTCCACTAGTTGAAGTGTCCTTGGGCTAGACACAGAGCCCCAAATTGCTCCTGATGGCTGTGCTGTGAGTGTGTGTGAATATATTAATTTCTATTTCTGCTGAGGAGTTGGCACCTTCTGTGGTATCCTCTGCCATCAGTGAATGAATGTGTGTGAACGGGCTAAAGACAGTGGAAACATTTTGGTGAAGGCCATTTCCTGTTTGAACATGACAATCCCCGCTGTGCCTTTTGGACATCTGAGTTTGGTGTTGAAGAACTTGACTGGCACAGATTCCTGACCTCAATCCCATCCAAAACCTTTAGAATGAACTGAGAGCCAGGCTGCATCGCCCAACATCAGCGTCCGACATTACTCCTGTGACTGAAATTTTTGACAACAACAATGCATGAGTGTAATGTTTGGGTGTTCACTTACTTTTGGCCATGTAGTTTTTATGTTTTAGTCACCTGGACCGGACCACACACTGAACCCCTATGTGCTTTGTCATCTGTAAGTAGCTTTGAATTATACGTAACATTTCTAAAGTGGTGATCCATAAAATTCTTGCTGTTGTGTATTATAGCATATGTTTTATTTTGCTTTACAGCTTTTGTAAATGGTTACAGTAGATGGCTAAAGGTTTAACCACTTCTGTGCTTCATCAATCTGCAAAACAGAAAAAGGTTTGCAACGATTTGTAGCTTTTACCTTGTTTGGGGGTTGGAGTAGCTGCATGTGTCACATTAGGCCAAGGGAAAGGCTAATGGCAAGGACTCTCTATGATGAATGAAGTCAAGGGGGGTGGGGGGTGAGGGGGTGTACTCATCTTCCCTTGGGAAGACAGAAACACACAGAGGGTTACTTCAATTAGTCAGATACTGCCAAGACAAAAAGCCCAACCTGCTCCCCGCTGCATCTTCGCTCCAGCCAGAGTCAGCTAATCAAATGAAGACAGGGAGGATACAGACAAAGACTGGAAGCACTCTGCAGTTTAAGGAGGGAGAAAGATGGGGGGATATAAGCTTTACAAAATTTCAGGTGTTATATTTGCAGTGCATTCGTTACTGTGGTTTTGGTTTGTGTTCAGTAAAGTTTTTTTTTTGTTTGAGCAGACAAAGAGTCTTTATATGAGTAGTCCACAAGGAACTGGTGGGGAGAATAAGAGAGGGCAGAGAAAACTGCTTGGGTATAAACTGTTGCGTAACTCAATTGGCGGTAAAAGGTGCTGCCAGAGTTAAGAGGTGTTATTGGGGAATCACACACCACTCCAAATCATCAATCATCAAACCATCAAATGATATTAAGATATACATTTTCTTAGCTTCAAACATGACAGTAACCTGATCAGTTCTGTGTCTGATCCAGGGATTGAGGATTTGTGGTCTGCAGGGTTTTTTTCAAGATAATGGTGTCTGGGTAGCTTTGTTGTTCACAGGTCCCTTTCTGATCTCACTTCAAAGCCGTGTGCAATGTGGGCCGCGGGGGTTTAGCCTGGCTTGACCAGGCACACTTCCGCGCCCCTTTTCATGTTTGGCACTCCATTTCTCTCTCTCTGACAAGTAGTAGCAGTAGAGTGTGGGCCCCCCGAACACTAATTACAGGTCACCATGTCAACTAACAGGGGCTCTCCCCACTTTTAAACCTACGGCTGACGTCTTGGAGGGGAGGATCCTGTATACAAGGAATTTATCTTAATAAACATGGAGATGAAGCATGTGATTTATAATCATGACACAGCCTGTGTACACTCAGAGATTTGCATTTTTCCTACTTATGTTAGGCTGGTGATGCTTTAATATCATAGCATTTTCTTGGCTCCCAACATTCCTTTTTCCCTTCCAACTGCTACTACTAATTACTACTCTTTGGCTCCAGTTTTAATGATAAGTTAGAAGCACAAAAACATGACAGTCTGCAAGAGAGGTCTCCTTTATTGCTTGTTTATTTTAGGCCATCAATTATTCAAAAGCCTTGATGTTGTAATAGGCTATGCCAATTAGTAATTGTAAATATGATGCAAATTACTGTGAATGTTCAACTATTTAAAACATGACTTTTGGTTTAAAGTCTGTTTGACTTTGACAACTTGACTCTCCCAACAAAAGTCAACTACTCTGCTATAATAATTAAAATAAGTCATATAGGCTGCATTATGATGATTGTATGCCCTATGATATCACAAAAATATTTTATAGCTGGCCCTTGGCATCCTTCCTTTATCCTTGTTAAAAGATTTATTACATGGTTACTACTGGTCAGAAAAGGGACATAAAAGATAACCAGCTGCAGAGCGTCGTTGATCCGGACATAAAAAAAAGAAAAAAAGAAGATATATCACAAAAGTTTTTCTGGAAGCGCTTTTAATACATACGTGCGGCGACGCCGTTACTATTTATCCCCGCGCCGACTTCCAAAATAAAATGAATGCGGCAGAGCTCCAGTCCTGCACAGTGGAGAGGAATGGAATGAGAGGCAGCCGTGGGCGATACCAAATCTGGCTTCCATAAGGGGGTGCACTGAAAGAGTCACGGCAACTCTCGAGATTAAAAGGCGTAAACACACACACTAATGAGGTGAAGTATATTACTGAGTACATATTTTATTCATTAAATTATATGTTTTGCCTATGACTATTTGTGTAACGACACACTCTTCATCTTCATCCCGGTCCTCCCCCTCTTTTACGCGAACACCCACCGCACATGTCTCCTATGTACTTGTGAGAGCTCCAGCGGGGGCAGAATGTGGTTCCAGTCGAGGGCGGCAGAACGAGGACTTTTCTCCGAAACTTATTCAAGTCGTCCCCAAACTGTGGATTTTCTTTTCCTTCTGTTTTTTGTTTTTTGTTTGTTTTTTGTAAGAACGCAGATTAAACCGTTCGGATTAATAATTTTATCAAAGGAATACCTTTGTTTTCTCAGCGAAAGGTGAGTTTTGCTGTGCTGGCTGGACGATTTGAATGCCTTTAACGTTAACCGTTTTAATACGTTAAGAGTGGGAATCTTAACGGTTAACGTTACTGCTTAAGCTTGCAATTAACGTTAACTTCAAAGTCATTTCAGCAACTCTAACCCAGTCTTTTTATTTATTTGAACATGCGTATCAGTTTCTGGGGGTGTTTTTGATGTGTTTGAAGCTGTTACAAGTCGGGGCAGCTGAAGTTGTGTTGGTTGTTGCTTCGCTATCAGTGATGCTGCCAGGGGGACGTTAATGTTATTTTACAGAAAATTTTGCCACGAAATAAAACCGAGTCGAGTTTTTTTTTACTGTTAGTTGAGGCAATTTACTTAATTTGATGCCGACTCTTTCAACCGGTTAAAGCACGACACTTGGTTCATAGTGAATTAGAACTAATAAATGTTTGCTCACTTATTTAATCGTGCAAGTTGCCAACTTCATCACGTAACGTTACGTTACTCATCTTGTACAAACTTTGCCTGAAATCCAACCAAAGCGAAGATATGGTGTAAAATTAGTCTATTTCTCCATTGTATGGTAACGTTAAAGTCCCTTTTTTAAAGAGTAGTTAAAATTCCTTCCTTGTCGTGCCATTACCATGCCAGTAATTCCTCACACATCCACCGACGTCACCTCCAACAACACTGCAAAGTTAGTGTGTTGAACGGCACAAAATAATGGTTAATCCATGCTTATCAGTCCTGTTTGGAGCTGCAGACATCTCCTTCATTTCTTCTGACCAAACTGCAAGGTTGTTTTCCTAGTACCTTCTTAGGAATGTCAAAAGTCCCCCCTGTTTAATATTAGACCAGAGGGCAATCAGAAAAAAAGGTAATGGGAATCGTCACGTTGTCCTACAAAGTGTAAGCATTGTTTGTGTGCACCGTTTTTAAATAAATAAATTTAAATTTAATAATAATAGTTCGCCATGCTGTGGATTATCTTAATGGTTTTACTGTCAAGGCAAATTACCCTGTTTGCAGAGATGTCATAATCAGATGTTGAGTTCTCCCTGGAGCTATTGGGGACTCAATGGCCTGCTTATGGGCCCTTCAGCAGAGAGGATGCTTTGCCATCTGAACTTGTGTCCTGTTGGTGGTTGTTTTAACTACCCTGTCACTCATATACCCATTGCAAGTCATAATGAGGTTAGTAATGTAGTGTAATAAACAGTTGTTGCATACAATGTTGCACAATGGTGTTTGTTGCATTTCTGAAACTTTTTTCAGCAATTTTCAAATGATATAAAAACTACTGGCTTGCTCTGCAGACACCAGCATGGTCAGCCAGCGGGATCCCCTGTTGAAACTCATCCAGCACACCTGATAGGTTAATCCCCAAGCATACAGTTTGTGACATGCCCAGGTCTCTCCTTTAGCTAAGGGGGAAGACAGAAGAAAAACATCCTGTGTTTTTGTGACCATGACACTCTTGGCTCAATGTTGTAACCGAGCAAAGTGAATGGTAGAGAGACACGGTGCAGGTGCTGTCTGGACAGGAAGAGCTCTGCTTGAGTAGGAAACAAAAAGGAAATGTGTGTACAAAGATGGTTGGTGTGCGTACCAGTGACTCATTCTGATGAATTCTTGTTGGAATGTGTGATGGGATGGCCCATAATTGCACAAGGCAATCCCCCCACCCACGTAACGGATATGTTTTGCTCTCTCATTTTGGAGCTTTTCGTCTTTATTTTACTGTGCTTGTGCTTTCATGAAACCATATGACATTGTTAGTTGTTATACACACGCTTCAGTAAATGCTGGATCTATTGTTTTTGTGACTTTATCAGTGATTTTCTCAGTTTTAAAGTCCGGATCAAAAGCTCAGCTAGATCCTCAGCCTCGGGGCTGGCTTCCTCTGAAGCTAAAACCTGCCTTGAATACAAAAACTGTTAGATACAGCACCTGAACTGAAGAAGAAAGTATCTGTGGTGCTATATATAGGTAACTGGAGATAACCTGTTACACGCTTTTTACATAATTGTCTACGAACAATGCAAATTTTCCCAGGGAAGTCTGTAACATGCTTGGAGGGGATTTTCATATTGTTCCAGATGCTAGTTTATAAAATGCTCTCTCCTGAATTTATCACTCAATCTGCCTTCGGCCTTGTTGCTGGAAGATAAGACGTAAGAGGAACCACATTTTGAGTGTTGGGACAATGTAACTGAGGACTGAGAGTGCCACAGGTCCATGAGAAAGGATGAGATTACTGTTATTGCCATAAAGAAGGAGAAACCTTATCTGTTACTGTCTGACTGCATGTGTTATCTCCCCTGCTTCTAGAGTATGTGGGTTTGTATGCATTCAAATGTTATTGGTGTTAGTTATACAGGTGCCCTGAGCTCTCCACTCATATCACTTTACACTATCTCGTCCATGTTGCTGATCTTGGGTGCAATCCTTGTATCTCAGGAACATCAACGTTTAAAGAGTTGATAAAAACAGCCAGATTTCCAGAGGAGTGGACATGTGTTTTTAAAGATTAACCTTGTCGTATTATTTTTTTTTTGACTGGATTTGTGTTCTTGTGTGTCCAGAAAATGCTCAACAGCAGACCGCACAAACCCCAATGTCAGCGTTGCATACCTTTTCTGCAACTGCAAGGATGTTGCATGAGTCCTCACATCCATGTCTCAAGTGCACCAAAGGGGACAGAAGAAAAAAATAGATCAGTTCTTCCTGCATTTGTCTCCATTTCTCCCCTTTTCCATGGATTGTGTTTTTGTTGCTCCTTTGCTTACTTGGCCTTCTTAGTGGAGATAGAGTCTTTTCAAGGAAGTGGACCAGAGAGAGTTAACCTGCCAGCATCCCCTGAGGATATTACCAGCTTATCTCACACGCTTCTCACTACAGCATTCACTGTTTCCTGTAGTAAATTTTGTTGATTTGGGTAGGAATAGTAGAAGGTCGTCATGCATATGTTTATAAAAATAGTTTGTTAATAAACTATTTGTTTACCAAGTGACTGTGAAAAGTGAATTCATGCAGCTGTTTCAAGTTTCAAATATTACACACAATATTTTTCCCGAAGAAAAAGACGTGCCACGTTTAAGTCTTGCGATTCTCCTCAGGTGTGACAGTGTAAGTAATTGTAAACAATCCTGTTGCACACAGGATGCCAATGAAACAACCCTTTTCATTCTGTCAAAACGAAAGACGCATGAAACAAAACAACAGGGTTTGGTTTGTTATAATTGCAGCTCATTTTTTAACCCTCTCCTTTAAGGCTGCTTGCCCTATTTTGAGTAACGTAATGGTCGGGTTGACATCTCCGCGGTGTGTTGCACTGCGATTGCTAGTTTGGAGGGGTTAGTCATGCACTGTCCAAGCCTGAATGCTGGGCGGGGAGGGAGCGACTGCTGACTCTGTTCTAACATGTCTGGCAGTGCCGGCGGTTTGAGATGTGTGTGTGTGTGTGTGTGTGTGTGCTCTCACTCCTTGCTTAGAGCCACATGGAAGCCAGATGTTATGAATGTTGAAATAATTTTTTCCATATAGGTAACTTGCGTTGTACTTCACTGAGAACTAACTGAGTTTTGAACTTTTCTGCTTGAGCTCTTCTTTGTCATTGTTGACAAAGAACTGACATGTTAAAGGGTGTAAAAGGGGTTAGGGAAAATGCTGAATCCCATTAAAATTGTAATTCTACGATTCTTTATTAGTTCACAGATTTCAAAAATATTTTTTGTTAATGGTGGTTTGTTGACAGAGTGAAAAGGGCAGAACATCACAAGAGCATACAAGAGTCATTTGGTGGTTCATCTTCAAAAAAGACAATTACTGTCCTAATAATTAGCTTGATTATTTCATGAATGCTTCATATGAACTCCAGCCAACGCACATATCACAGTATATCACAATATAAAACTTTCGGCCAATTCTGATCAGGTGTAGAAAATAAACGGTTCCAAACTCTGTTTCATTTCCAAAGACCTCTAGCTGTACAGTGTTGTGGAGACCCATGGATTTCCCTGTTACTAACTCTGCAGCAGAAACATTAGTAGCAACACAGCAGCCATTACTCCAGAACAACTTGCTCAATCAGTATTCCCATACACACTGGAGACTGTGACTTGCTTCCAAATAATTTAAGCTTTCTTTAGTAAAAAAGCTGCATACTCCCACACTTTTCTCTGCCTTTTCTTGTTTGTCAGATGGTGAACTTATCAAGAGTTGTTAGTCTAACTGCCCGTTATGGTTCATATTGCAATACATCAGATTAAAAACATGAGTGAGTGATTTTGCAATGGGGTAAGAGCCTGAAAATAGATGTATCAAAAAGTTTCCCATCCCTGATTTGAACCTTTATCTGACCATAAAGACTTTGCTAAGAAGGAGCAGTGATATTTCTTTCCACATCACATCTCATGGCACTGATAGCTGGTGCCACAAGTCTTACACTGTAAACCAACAACTGGGGCACTTGACAAGCTGGTGTGTTGCCATTTTGAAGGTTGTGACTGAATGCAGCCACTGAGAAAGACATTCGCTGTCACTTTCATAATTATATCTCCATCAAGAAGGAGAATGAGTCACCAGGCAGGGAGGTGCTCCAGCTTCTTAATCTGCAGTATTTCCTGAACAAATGATGCAAGGATGATAGAAAAATCAAAAGCCAAATGAGTCTTTCCCACTGAATTCAGATCATGTATGGTAAATAGTGGAGCTGTAGTTTCAGTGTCAGTTGTGGTTTAGGCTGAGGTCACCATCAAATTCCTTGGCTTTTCTTTGTGAATTATATAACAGCTTTACAATACCATGCTGTGTACAGGCCTTGTCCTTCAGTGGTTAATGAGCGTGACATTTGATGACGGAGGACACCCAGGCTTCTCAGATGCTGGATTTGTATGAGCAAACATATAGATATTTTACTTACCATGAAAGAAAATTGTTTTTACTGAGTCTGTCTGTGTTGTGTATAAATTACCATATTTGATCCTACTTTTATTGCTAAAATAAGGTTTAGG